GTCACAGTCAGAGAAACAGGACAACACCGAAAAACAGGTCAATCTAAACCTGGGGGTTTGGCTCACCTGGAAAGACCAATGAAAACTGAGTTTATGGTTTCCCATTAACACCCTAATGTGAAGATAAGGTGTTGATGGTAACTGCTCCGCCTGCCGGGCAGCGAAATTAATTTATGTTTGGATATAAAATGTTCAATAATGTTGTCATTATGTGCCGCTTCATTTCTTCTGCCTATAATGATGCTTTTGGTTTTTCTCTTTGCACCAAGAAAATAATCCAAAAGAGAACAGAGTCCAAGCTGCGGAGGAACAGTCGTCTGTTTGGGACCCCCCTGTTTGACCTCCACTTCAGGGAGGAGGCCCAGCCCCCCCGCTGTCTGCTGCACAGGACGCTATGAGCTCCAGAGGGAGTGGTGGCCGCTCCAACGGCGCCCTGCCGCAGACCAAGATCTGCCAGTTCAAGCTGGTGCTGCTGGGGGACATGGCTGTGGGCAAGTCCAGCCTGGTGCTGCGCTTCGTCAAGGGACAGTTTGACGAGTTCCAGGAGACGACTATAGGAGGTGAGACACGGCGATGCAGGTCAGGAGGCCTCGCTCCTCATCAGATCGCCGCTCATTGTTGCTCTCCTCTCCGTGTTTCTGCAGCCGCCTTCTTGGCCCAGTCCGTGTGTTTAGACGACACCACGGTGAAGTTTGAGATCTGGGACACGGCCGGACAGGAGCGCTACCACAGCCTGGCTCCCATGTACTACCGCGGGGCGCAGGCTGCCATCGTTGTTTTCGATATCACCAAACCGGTACGTTTAGGTTTACGAGCTTCTACACTCAGAAAGTGTTTAATTATGCAGACCTGTGTGAAGATCAGCGTTTGATTGCAGGAGACCTTTGAGAGAGCGAAGGCGTGGGTGAAGGAGCTGCAGCGGCAGGCCAGTCCTAACATCGTCATCGCTCTGGCTGGAAACAAGGCCGACTTGGCTGAGAAGAGACTGGTGGAATACGAGGTAATACCAACCCAGTAACGCAGCAGGTATCTCCATTTAACACGGTCTCGTTGAAAATAAAAATATACCCCTGAAGAACATGAACATGAAGCCAGTGGCGTACACAGATATTTTTCGGGTCAGGTGCTCAGGTTGGAAAAAGGTCACCTTAATATGGAAGGAAAGCAGTCTCACTGGAATCTGCCTTTTTTGTACGCCGTATTTTAAAGTCTTAGGGAAATCCTATTTAAATGTCAAATCATTCTGGCTTAAACATTTATATAAATTTACTCTTTATCAGACCATATTGTCCTAAAATTTCTATTTAAAAAGAAATCCTGTCTTAAAATCTGTTTT